TCAACACTACAACTGTGTATCTCGCATACTCTCAAAACTACACATGTGTATCCCCATGCTCTCAACACTACAACTGTGTAGCTCCCATGCTCTCAACACTACAACTGTGTAGCTCCTATTCTCTCAACACTACAACTGGTTAGCTCCCATGCTCTTGGCACTACAACTGTTTATCTCCCATTCTCTAAGCACTATAATTGTGTATCTCCCATGCTCTAAGCACTATAATTGTGTATCTCCCATGCTCTTGGCACTACAACTGTGGATCTCCCATGCTCTAAGCACTATAATTGTGTATCTCCCATTCTCTAAGCACTATAATTGTGTATCTTCCATGCTCTAAGCACTATAATTGTGTATCTACCATGCTCTTGGCACTACAACTGTGGATCTCCCATGCTCTCAACAATACACATGTGTATCTCCCATGCTCTCAACACTACAACTGTGTAGCTCCCATGCTCTCAACACTACAACTGTGTAGCTCCTATTCTCTCAACACTACAACTGGTTAGCTCCAATGCTCTTGGCACTACAACTGTTTATCTCCCATGCTCTAAGCACTATAATTGTGTATCTCCCATGCTCTTGGCACTACAACTGTGGATCTCCCATGCTCTAAGCACTATAATTGTGTATCTCCCATTCTCTAAGCACTATAATTGTGTATCTTCCATGCTCTAAGCACTATTATTGTGTATCTACCATGCTCTTGGCACTACAACTGTGGATCTCCCATGCTCTCAACAATACACATGTGTATCTCCCATGCTCTCAACACTACAACTGTGTAGCTCCCATGCTCTCAACACTACAACTGTGTAGCTCCTATTCTCTCAACACTACAACTGGTTAGCTCCAATGCTCTTGGCACTACAACTGTTTATCTCCCATGCTCTAAGCACTATAATTGTGTATCTCCCATGCTCTTGGCACTACAACTGTGGATCTCCCATGCTCTAAGCACTATAATTGTGTATCTCCCATTCTCTAAGCACTATAATTGTGTATCTTCCATGCTCTAAGCACTATAATTGTGTATCTACCATGCTCTTGGCACTACAACTGTGGATCTCCCATGCTCTCAACAATACACATGTGTATCTCCCATGCTCTCAACACTACAACTGTGTAGCTCCCATGCTCTCAACACTACAACTGTGTAGCTCCTATTCTCTCAACACTACAACTGGTTAGCTCCAATGCTCTTGGCACTACAACTGTTTATCTCCCATGCTCTAAGCACTATAATTGTGTATCTCCCATGCTCTTGGCACTACAACTGTGTATCTCCCATGCTCTCAACACTACAACTGTGTAGCTCCCATGCTCTTAACACTACAACTATGTATCTCCCTTGCTCTCAACACTACAACTGTGTAGCTCCCATGCTCTCAACACTACAACTGTGTAGCTCCCATGCTCTTAACACTACAACTATGTATCTCCCTTGCTCTCAACACTACAACTGTGTAGCTCCCATGCTCTTAACACTACAACTATGTATTTCCCTTGCTCTCAGCACTACAACTGTGTATCTCCCATGCTCTCAACACTACAACTGTGTAGCTCCCATGCTCTCAACACTACAACTATGTATCTCCCTTGCTCTCAACACTACAACTGTGTAGCTCCCATGCTCTCAACACTACAACTATGTATCTCCCTTGCTCTCAACACTACAACTGTGTAGCTCCCATGCTCTCAAAACTACAACTATGAATCTCCCATGCTCTCAGCACTACAACCGTGTATCTCCCATGCTCTCAGCACTACAACCGTGTATCTCCCATGCTCTCAAAACTACAACTATGTAGCTCCCTTCCAGGCCCAGGAGATATGCAATATGCCATCAGGAATAACGCAAATATTCTTTTCTACCATGCATGCTATTTTGATTCATAACAATTCACTTAATGAATTATAATTTGAAGAAAGAAAGGTCTGAAACATATTAAAACACAAGGTTTAATTTAGAAACTAATGGAAAAGACATAAATATCACACACCCTTTCATCATAGCTACAGGCAGATGAGCAGACAGCCATCACATGCAGATGACATTCTGATTTAGTCCTGGCCAGGTGTATATATACACTACCTTGACAATAATCTGTCTTCAGATACACACAGTCTGGTTGGGAAGATGGACATATCGAAATTGGGTTATCGATCATCTGTGTCCATCTTAACAAGAACATGTAATCAGACAAATCCTCAGATGATGGACAAAGTCCTATCTCACATCACAGCAATTACAGACATCGTTAAGCATCAGCTGAAGCCAGTCTGGACATCAATACAGTTCAGTCCCCATGAAATGGCTTCCCAAGTTATACTTTTAATAGGCCCAGTGTCTCCAATCTCACAGTTCGGCATTGTCTCTGACATGCTAATTAACCTTCGCTGATTAACACTCCTATGTATAGCCCCAGGACCACGGAGATATCTGCTTCAAGCATTACAGACAAAACGTTAACTTTGAAAAATTCTGGCAGGCACGCCATCAATGTACGGCTCGCAAGGGACACGGCAAACTTGTCAGACATCACAGTTACAGAGAAAGGACTTGGGACCAATCAGTAAAGAACAGGTTCCAAATGGATTTTATTACACATGAAGATAAAGAAAACATAGAGATCTATATTTAACTTGCAGTTATATCCTCCATGGAGGTGCAAACTGAACACGCGTTGCTTAAAACACTCTAACAGTGCCCCATCTAATGTTTTACCACGAAACCATGAATGAACACTTGTGTTAAGGCTCTAAAATGTGTTTAATGGTGAGTGCAGAGGTCCTATAAATTAAAGAGGAGCCATGCTCCAAGGTCTGTTAGAGCTCTAAATAACTGTAGACATTGTAAGGCAACACTTTTTTTTTACTTGATTTATGGATCTGCTGACTGTAATAAAATTGAAATGGAAAAGAAAATTCCCCTATAGTCGTGAACACCATTTGTGTCCCCCTGCTTGTGTATTATTGAATAACGGCAGTGACCAATCAGAATATGGGGTGATATGATCATTTAGTATCATATCAGGTCCGTCAGAGTTATTATATGTTAGTCTTGTGACTTTGAACAGTGGAAATACTGAAGATATGTGAGTATGTGAGTGAGTGAGTGAGTGAGTGAGTGAGTATTGTTTTACGCCGCTTTTAGCAATATTCCAGCAATATCACGGCGGAGGACACCAGAAATGGGCTTCACACAATGTATGCATGTTGGGAATCAAACCTAGATCTTCAGCGTGACAAGCGAACACTTTAACCACTAGGCAACCCCACCGCCCCTGAACATATATTAAAAATGTGGAGTGAAATTTTTGTTGTTGATCCTTTGATTGACAGGATGCATAGACGCACAACAGTATTCTCGCTAATTGTTCAGGTTTGCATTGCTTAAAGCAACAGCTGTGTTGGAGGCTCTCGTCCCACATTAAACCATTTTTATGTAGTGGAGAAGAAAGAAAGCTAAACAAAAATTGAATTGCTTTCTTTTCATCTACCAACAGGTATTTTCCTGCAAAAACATCTGTAAAGCAAGTAATAAAAAGTGTGGCCTAAAAAAGTACGCGTAAAAGTGAAGCTTTGTCTCTGTGTAAATTCATCAACTGGCGTGATAGACATCATCAAATTGTTCAAAGACAAACAAAGATTTTGAATTATATGAATGCAACTTGCGAGGACTGCAAATAGTCCCCGCCACCCCCCATCACAGCAGGCATCATGTGCACAACAACCATGATGGATTCAAACCTTAGTCATCACCTATGGGGTAGCCTGGTGGTTAAAGCATTCATTTATCATGCCGAAGACCCGGGTTCGATTCCCCACATGGGTACAATGTGTGAAGACCATGTCACATATCCCCATGGTATCGCCGGAATATTGCAGCAAGCAGAATAAAGTCATACCCACTCACTCACTCAAGTACACAGCCACATCCTTAGACACTTAAAGAAAACTTCTTCAAGAACAAAGTCAGAACATGTCTCCGATTAGGCAAAATAGGGCTTTGTTGGCTCTTGATCAATACTATTGATTTGGCTATAATCTACATCAGCACATAACTGAACACTTCACTATGATAGATCTGTCTACAATACAGGATGATATCAAGCATCCTCGTCCCATCCTATATTCCTGACGAACCTCTGCCTGGTTAACGATATGCTGATCAGCTGATTACAGCGCCACCCATCATTCCTCAGCTGTGTGGTGTCGCATGTGACGAAGTGTAACATGTTGCTAACGACTAGGTCCGCGGCTGTAACACAAATAGAAGGAAGCTCCGAACAGCTGGGGCTAAATAACGGCTCCCAAACATCAAAGTTACAAATCTCAGGAGATGGGGACTGGTCAATAGCGTAACCAGGTGGCCCCCGCCTAATCAAACGTTCCGAAATACATCAAACACAAAGAACAGGATGATAAGTGACAGTTCAGAAGGTCATCTAATTTTTATTCAGGTATTTCAGCTTAAAGTTTAAGCCTTCAATCAGTAGTTTTTCGGGATAGTCAGTAAAAACACAAGCAAAGAGCAGACAAACTATCAAGTTGATTCCAAAATGCCAAATCAGCGCAATGCGATTGCAGATCGTCAGTCTGTCTGTTAGGGGACATAGGGACAGCTGGTTCTGGGTTCGTTTCATTACTCTAATTCAAGTTTTTGCAAATACCAAACACTGTTGTTTCGTTAGATTGGTTGGTTGGTTTGTTGTTGGATCTATTTATATAGGACTTATATGAGATGTTAGCACGATTACAATAAACAGTAAAGTTTTAATTTGAGGAAAACATTTTTTTAAATGAACATTTTATGTAAATCTTTTACAATAAAAATTTGACTAATCTCATGTTTAAGTCACGATTTTTGGTTGTCACATGTTTAACAAGATACACCACCTTAAGGGGTAACTACAATATAAAGGAGTACTAGGTTGCGGCAAATTGGCAGCCCCAGCCATGTTGGACTGAAGTCATTCAATCTCTCTTTGTTATCCTAAAATGACCAATGAGTGACCAGGACACAGTGGGAGAATGACCAATGAGTGACGAGGAAACAGTGAAAGAATGACCAATAAGTGACAAAGACACAGTGATAGAAATACCCATGAGTGACGAGGAAACAGTGGAAGAATGACCAATAGGTGATGAAGACACAGTGAGAGAATGACCAATGAGTGATGAAGACACAGTGGAAGAATGACCAATGAGTGATGAGGAAACAGTGGAAGAATGACCAATAGGTGATGAAGACACAGTGAGAGAATGACCAATGAGTGATGAAGACACAGTGGAAGAATGACCAATGAGTGATGAGGAAACAGTGGAAGAATGACCAATAAGTGATGAAGACACAGTGAGAAAATGACCAATGAGTGACTGGGACACAGTGGAAGAATGAACAATGAGTGAGAAGGAAACAGTGGAAGAATGACCAATAAGTGATGAAGACACAGTGAGAAAATGACCAATGAGTGATGAAGACACAGTGGGAGAATGAACAATGAGTGAGAAGGAAACAGAGGAAGAATGACCAATAAGTGATGAAGACACAGTGGAAGAATGACCAATGAGTGATGAAGACACAGTGGAAGAATCAGCAATGAGCGTTGAAGACACAGTGGAAGAATGACCAATGAGTGATGAAGACACAGTGAGAAAATGACCAATGAATGATGAAGACACAGTGGGAGAATGACCAATGAGTGATGAAGACACAGTGGGAGAATGACCAATGAGTGATGAAGACACATTGGGAGAATGACCAATGAGTGATGAAAACACAGTGGGAGCATGACCAATGAGTGATGAAGACACAGTGGGAGAATGACCAATGAGTGATGAAGACATAGTGGGAGAATGACCAATGAGTGATGAAGACACAGTGAGAGAATGACCAATGAGTGATGAAGACACAGTGGGAGAATGACCAATGAGTGATGAAGACACAGTGGGAGAATGACCAATGAGTGATGAGGACACAGTGAGAGAATGACCAATGAGTGATGAAGACACAGTGAGAAAATGACCAATGAGTGACTGGGACACAGTAGGAGAATGACCAATGAGTGAGAAGGAAACAGTGGAAGAATGACCAATGAGTGATGAAGCACAGTGGGAGAATGACCAGTGAGTGACTGGGACACAGTAGGAGAATGACCAATGAGTGATGAGGACACAGTGGAAGAATGAGCAATGAGCGTCAAAGACACAGTGGAAGAATGACCAATGAGTGATGAAGACACAGTGGAAGAATGACCAATGAGTGATGAAGACACAGTGGAAGAATGACCAATGAGTGATGAAGACACAGTGGAAGAATGACCAATGAGTGATGAGGACACAGTGGGAGAATGACCAATGAGTGATGAGGACACAGTGGGAGAATGACCAATGAGTGATGAGGATACAGTAGGAGAATGACCAATGAGTGATGAGGACACAGTGGGAGAATGACCAATGAGTGACTGGGACACAGTAGGAGAATGACCAATGAGTGATGAGGACACAGTGGGAGAATGACCAATGAGTGATGAGGACACAGTAGGAGAATGACTAATGAGTGATGAGGACACAGTGGGAGAATGACCAATGGGTGACTGGGACACAGTGGTAGAATGACCAATGAGTGATGAGGACACAGTAGGAGAATGACCAATGAGTGATGAAGACACAGTGGGAGAATGACCAATGAGTGATGAAGACACAGTGGGAGAATGACCAATGAGTGATGAAGACACAGTGGGAGAATGACCAATGAGTGATGAGGACACAGTGGGAGAATGACCAATGAGCGTCGAAGACACTGGGAGAATGAGCAATGAGTGACAAAGGACACAGTGGGAGAATGACCAATGGGTGTTGAGGACACAGTGGAAGAATGACCAATGAGTGATAAGGACACAGTGGGAGAATGACCAATGAGTGACAAGAAATGACACATCATTAGTCCCGAGTGAGGTTATGTTATGTCTCAAGTCTTACAAGAAGCTCTGCCTATTTATCACTCACAAGGGACAGATTTGTAAATCCTTTACTCCAAGTCAGTCTGCCAAGTGTCCACAGACAGAAGACCTTTAAGATATTTAAAAATCACCTGAATTCCTTTAATTCTCACAATATTTGGATCAAATTTGAAAGGATTTGTAAAAAACAATAAGAAGGCTTCTATTTCAATTTTCATCCCTTTAACCAGAAGAATATGTTTCGAAGATCTCGATCTTATTTCCAATCACTGCCGTCATTTAGCTATATATTACTATATATTGAGTGTGGCATTAAACAACAAACAAACAAACAAACTTATTTCCAATGTTATTTTGACGTAAATAATAAAATATATGTTAACTAAACTGGAACCACATCATTTGAATCAACTGCCTGCCTTTTTTTTCTATAAAGAATTAATCATCTCATAATTGTGATAAGGGCAACTTGCCTCTATGTACGTGTACAGTCAAGTCCCGATGATCCAACATGATTGGTTGCATAGTATCATGTCGGATTAACAAGTATGTCGGATAATCGAAATTTCGTGATTGAAAATTGGACAATTGCACTATTGATAACAAAACAAATGTAGTAAGAAAAAAAGTTTAAAATGAAATATTCATACTGCTATGTTACATTGCTGGCGAAATGGCAGAATATGTCTTCTAATCATGCAACCTCTAAAGCTAATCACAAAACTACTGTTGACTGATTTAAAATACTTTTGAAAGAATAGTCTGGAATGGAAGTCGCCAGTTTGAAACGAGTGCTGCAAAGCTCAAGAAGGCAGGTTTCTTACTGGCTTATGTAGACTTCCTGTTAGTCATTTCATTGGTCAGTCAAAGTTTGAGTTTGAGTTTGAGACAGGTCATTCTGACATGACCTGTAATAGGATATCCTCAGCAGGAGCGAGAACTTGTATCTGATTTTTATGAGCTTAAGGTAATCTGAGCATGTGATTTTTTAAAATCCTGTTTTGTTTATTTAAAGCATTATTTGTTAATTGTTAAGCAAGCTTATCTCTGCAGCCAGTGTAATATGCAGCTACTAGCCGACTTGTCTCGCGCAGTGTACTCACAGGCAGATGACCACGGATTACGCTGATCACTGTGTCGATTAACAAGACTGTTAATAAGTGATTTCAGCAATTTGTTGCAAATTAGGTGTGTTGGGAGTCATAATGCGAGACTGTTGGAATAACGGGTCTAAATAGCACGGATTTCATTGGTCCCATCATTAGTGTCGGATAAAGGCGACTGTTGGATTAACGAGCGTCAGATTAATGAAACTTGACTGTATCTATAAATATGAGTATTCATAAAAAAAATTCGCAAAAGACTTCAGTTCACCTATTTTTTGTGCCAAGTTTCAGGGTGATTTGAGGGTTTCTGCACTTCCTCAAGTTGTCCATTTTCCAAAGGTCACAGACCCCTGCCTATTCTCACAGCCACTTGTCCATGACACCATGTCATGTCCACAACTAATTATTTCACAACAATGCAATTCCTTCTATGCGAGGCTCAGAACTTGGGCATGGTGTGTGGTGTGTGTGCATGCGTGTGCATGTGTGTGCGTGTGTGTGCGTGTGTGTGTGCATGCGTGTGCGTGTGTGTGCGTGAGCGTGCGTGTTTGTATTCAACCAGATCACAAACTACAACCAGTCAATCTTCAAAAGTTCACACTTACAAGTATGGGGTACAGGGGATGTATGTAGCCCTGGAATCCCCATGGGTTGAATTTATTTAGCTGTATTCTTAGAAAACCTAACTTTAGGACTATTTCAGTTGGGAATGTCTATAAATCAGTCCCTGCTGATTTCTGCAGCCAGAGAGCACAAATTTAACTGTACATTTTTTATAATTTCTACAACCAGTTTTCATGCACAAATGATCTGATTGTGTATACAGTACAAAGTTGACTGAAAGTTTGTCTTTACTCAAACACATAAAAGTCAGAAGGAATGTGCCCATAGTCAGAATGCGAAATTTAGCGACTTGTACTAGTGTAACCATGGAATTTTATTGTCATTTAACCATTATCACATGACTAACCATGAGTCCGGGTAGTCCTGTGGGTACCCGGGTCCTATTTAGGACCCACCCGACCCTAGTACCCAAGTTACCCGTCCCAGCCCTAGAGCTTGTGCAACTTTTCTATATTGAGACCAGCCTTGAATTTGCATGGTGTATTTCTGCAATGTATTTGAACGATTCCACAGCAAAAAACTGGGTGATTTCCAGCAAGAAATGTACATTTCTGCATCAAAAGGACAATTCTGCAAAATTTTTCGAAATTGCAAAATTGTGTAAGACACAGAGACTGACACACATAACCACAGGAACATTAGCTTCATACCCGTGACTTTGTAATATAGAAATTGTGTTTGATCAGTCAATTTCATTGGAATATGTATCATTCAAGTTAGCAGGGTTGCACAGAGGATTCATATTTCTTCATGCGTGAGTGTTTGTGGTTTTATGGTGCTAGCCCACTGAGGTACCATGTCGCAGTTTTAACATGAAACCCCTCCTGCGACACAGTATACTGACTCCGAGCCGACCAGTCGGTACAAAGGGACTCCGGACTGGTCGGCTCGGAGTCCCTTTGTACCGATCACCAGGCAGGGTAGCAACAAGCATCTTTTAACTTATTTTGGTATGACATGTCCAGGGTTTGAACCACCTGCTTTACACTTGCCGGGCAGACACTCTGCCCACTTGACCACTGAGATGGTCGGGGGAAATACTAACAATCTGTACAGCATGATAGTCGGCATGCACCTGATGAAGGAGTAAGCATATACTTTGAAATGTTATGCTCCTCGTAGGGCTGGGACGGGGAACTCGGGTACTCGGGTCAGGTGGGTCCAGAGTAGGGTCCTGAGTAGGACCCGGTACCCATAGGACTACCTGGACCCGCGGTTAGTCTCATGATATATTGTTTAATGACAAAAGTTCACTATAGCTCAGTGGTTACACTACAAGTTGCTAATGTTCGCATTTCTTTCTGATGATGCACACATTCCTTTTGACTTGTATATGTTTGAGTAAAGATAAAGCTTCAGTCAACTTCAGTGTACACATGATCTAATCATTTGATACTTGTATCTTAATCATTTTTGCCAGGTCTGCGGTAAAACAATTTGAGATCAGACATTTTGTTCCCAACTCTTGAGACCTGCAGTGGGGAGCCGGTTAGGGTAATAGGGGGTCGGGTACCATGGTAGTAAATTTGTACTCGTCCGAACCCAAGTTCCTCATAATAAAGGATTTGACATCCATAAATTCTCTTTCCTTTGTGTATCATTTCTAAATGCCAATCAAAGACTTGATCAAATGACAATATAATACAAAACAAATTACTGGGAAACTTTCAAAAACCTACCTGTAAGATGTCTGTTTGCGGATGGTGAAGTGCGCAAACCGGTCGCCAAGTCCACCATCTGGCCCCTCGGACGAGTCGCTTCGATTCCCCTCCTCAAAACACCAGCCCTCAGCCATGACTCGGAGTTTGGGGCGGGTCTTCGCCACTCTGTACGACACCCCACATTAATACGTCTTCACTGGCTGAAAACACAGGTGAGGAATCCAAAGTTAGTCCGACTGATCATCTATCAAAGCACATGTCAAATCTCTCAATGAGCCCCGTAGTTTGGTCATTTTTTGTCACCTCCCTATCGGGCTGTGATGACAGTGGGAGAGCCAGTGACAGCGACCAGGCTGGGAGTCTGCTCGATAATTGGCATGTCGGAGAGCGACAGAGAGGCATGTCCAACATCCTCGGGTCGTCGCAGGCTCAACAATCCATTTCAACCAGACATGACAGGAAGGGATTTCTTTTTAAACAAAATACACAGAAATTGAAGTAAAGCAGAGCTAATGGATTACACAAACATTAACACCTCATTTGTCATTGCCTGCATAAGCTTCAGGTCTGTGGTAAACAAGAAAAAAGACCATATCCAATCTGGTAATTCCAAATAGGACTGCATATGAAATGATGATTTATGGATAACAAACAAGGTGTAAAACTGCGCATTTCCCACAGGTGCTGACATAAAAATACACCTTTCTTGTGTTCCCTCCTGCTGGAGTCAGTGAAGCAGGTTTAATGCCAGGTCTATCATAGCTGGACGCCTCACAAAACAAATCTTCGAACTATTGATATTTCTACGTTCGGTAACTGTATCTCTGATTAACAGTTGCATCGACCCCTCTCATAGGCCTTCACCCACTGTATGGGCATCCACCCCATATATTGGCCTCCACCCACTGTATCGGCATCCACCCCATATATTGTCCTCCACCCACTGTATCAGCCTCCACCCACTGTATCGGCATCCACCCCATATATTGTCCTCCACCCACTGTATCAGCCTCCACCCACTGTATCAGCCTCCACCCACTGTATTGGCCTCCACCCACTGTATCAGCCTCCACCCACTGTATCAGCCTCCACCCACTGTATCAGCCTCCACCCACTGTATCAGCCTCCACCCACTGTATTGGCCTCCACCCACTGTATCAGCCTCCACCCACTGTATCAGCCTCCACCCACTGTATCAGCCTCCACCCACTGTATTGGCCTCCACCCACTGTATCAGCCTCCACCCACTGTATCAGCCTCCACCCACTGTATCAGCCTCCACCCATTGTATTGGCCTCCACCCACTGTATCAGCCTCCACCCAGTGTATCAGCCTCCACCCACTGTATCAGCCTCCACCCACTGTATCAGCCTCCGACCACTGTATCAGCCTCCACCCACTGTATCGGCATCCACCCAAAATATTGTCCTCCACCCACTGCATCAGCCTCCACCCACTGTATCAGCCTCCACCCACTGTATCGGCATCCACCCACTGTATCAGCCTCCACCCACTGTATCAGCCTCCACCCACTGCATCAGCCTCCACCCACTGTATCAGCCTTCACCCACTGTATCAGCCTCCACCCACTGTATTGGCCTCCACCCACTGTATCAGCATCCACCCACTGTATCAGCCTCCACCCACTGTATCAGCCTCTACCCCATATATTGGCCTCCACCCACTGTATCGGCCTCCACCCACTGTATTGGCCTCCACCCACTGTATCGGCCTCCACCCACTGTATTGGCCTCCACCCACTGTATCGGCCTCCACCCACTGTATCAGCCTCCACCCACTGTATCGGCCTCCACCCACTGTATCGGCATCCACCCACTGTATCAGCCTCCACCCACTGTATCAGCATCCACCCACTGTATCAGCATCCACCCACTGTATCAGCCTTCACCCACTGTATCAGCATCCACCCACTGTATCGGCATCCACCCACTGTATTGGCCTCCACCCACTGTATTGGCCTCCACCCACTGTATTGGCCTCCACCCACTGTATCAGCCTTCACCCACTGTATCAGCATCCACCCACTGTATCAGCATCCACCCACTGTATTGGCCTCCACCCACTGTATTGGCCTCCACCCACTGTATCGGCCTCCACCCACTGTATCAGCCTCTACCATATATATTGGCATCCACCCACTGTATCGGCATCCACCCACTGTATCGGCCTCCACCCACTGTATCAGCCTCTACCATATATATTGGCCTCCACCCACTGTATCGGCCTCCACCCCATATATCAGCCTCCACCCACTTTTTTGGCCTCCACCCACTGTATCAGCCTCCACCCCATATATTGGCCTCCACCCACTGTATCAGCCTCCACCCACTGTATCGGCATCCACCCACTGTATCAGCTTCCACCCACTGTATCAGCCTCCACCCACTGTATTGGCCTCCACCCAGTATATCAGCCTCCACCCACTGTATCAGCCTCTACCATATATATTGGCCTCCACCCACTGTATCAGCCTCCACCCACTGTATCAGCCTCTACCCCATATATTGGCCTCCACCCACTGTATCGGCATCCACCCACTGTATTGGCCTCCACCCACTGTATCAGCCTCCACCCACTGTATCAGCCTCCACCCACTGTATCAGCCTCCACCCACTGTATCGGCATCCACCCCATATATTGGCCTCCACCCACTGTATCAGCCTCCACCCACTGTATCAGCCTCCATCCACTGTATCGGCATCCACCCACTGTATCAGCCTCCACCCACTGTATCAGCCTCCACCCACTGTATCGGCATCCACCCCATATATTGGCCTCCAACAAATGTGTCCATTTATCGGCATCCCCCATGTTGCTATGTATCGGCATCCAACCCTTTGATAGGCATAACCATATATTGGCATCCACTTCTGTATGTTCAGGTTTCAATGAAAATGTGAATCATTTAAAAAACTCAGAGACACATTTCAAAACTTTAATAACTTCACAAATTAATCTTCACCCTGACCAAAATATTCCAGACTATTGTTATGGTTGAAAAAAAAATATTTGTAAAAATTGTCTTCAAGACACTTCAAAAGCAGTATTTGCATTGCTAATACTCCAAAATCTTCACCTAACTTGTATTCAGAAAAACACTTCCATTTCACCTGCTTGTGTATCGTGGTCTGAGAGAGTTAACCAGCACGCGTGTTGCAGTGAAACAAGTTCATTAATACCATGAGCTCTCGAGGGCCCCAATGGAGCAACATCCTGGTTATAAAACAGGTACATAATGGTCATATTCCACGATGCTTTGTCTTGAATTATGAGCATAAAAGCATGCTAACACACTGCCGCCGTTCTGCTATGGCTGTACTGATGGCCCAAGTATGTAACATGCCCGTCTCTATTGTTAGAGGCGTCATTAGATAGAACGTGATACACAGGCTATATTTAGAACATCTGCAGGGATTCTTTGGCTGAAATAAATGGCCGGCTAAAAATCCTTCAGAGGATGAAGAAATACCAAGTCTGATCATGAGTTCTCAGTTAAAATAGCATTAATATCTTTGGGAAGATCGATGGATGGGTCACGCTTTTCTTCAATGAACTATTTCTGTTTCGCTGCCCTTACCTTTCGGAGTGCTTTCAAGGACACAGAAGAATTGTCTAATCTGTCTCACCATTAACTCTACCCTTTGTTCCCCTACAAGCAAGCATATACAGAGGGTATCTGTACTTTTTCTTAAATGTCAGATAACATGTTTATCTAACAGAGTGACCTGGCAAGTTGATGTTTTCATGAGTGGCATTCACAAGTGAAATATTCAGCTTTGTTGGATTAAGAGATGAGACAAGAAAAAATAACATGCAAAAAGTTTGTTTATTGTGTTACCTTTCTGATCTTCATGATCTTTCTCTGAATACTTTATAGTGACATTGTTTGTTTGTTTGTTTATTGTTTAACGCAGCACTCAGCAATATTCCAGCTTTATGACTTGTCTGTAAATAATCGAGTGTGGACCAGACAATCCTGTGATTTACATCATGAGCATCGATCCACGCAATTGGGATACGATGACATGCATCAACCAAGTCAGCGAGCCTGACCACCCGATCCAGTTAGCGCCTCTTACGACTAGCAAAGTTGCCTTTTACAGCAAGCATGGCTGAAGACCTTATTCTACCCCGTACCTTCACAGGTGGGAGGACAGCCCAAAGTATATGGTGCTGACAAACCTAGAAATATGATCATGGCAAACCAGGATTCAAACTGAAGACCTATTCTACCCCGGATCTTCACGGGTGACACTGAGGCAGACTGAAGGTAGTTCCATAATAAAGTTTGATAGAGAGATACTGATACTATATTTTCGGGTGAATACAGTATTTCATCACTAAATACATAATAAGACTATTCTAAAGCCACAGACAAAAATATCTACCAAGAGAAGCCCCACATTTGTCACAATCTCAGAGGTACTGGGGACTTAATCTGACCTGGAACACCCACAGAGAGACAAGAATGGGGTACTGGGGACCTAGTCTGACCTGGGGGGAGACAAGCATGGGGTACTGGGGACCTAGTCTGACCTGGAGTGGCCACAGGGAGACAAGCATGGGAAACTGGGGACCTAAGGCGTGCCCAAGGGAGGCAACTCTGCACAGAGACGGTTATATCACATGACCAATCAGGCTACTGATTGTCACAAGTTTCTTGAACGTGTGTGGACAAGCTTTCTCTCTGGAAATACTGTCATGGTAATTTCAAGTTCAAGTGAATCAAAAAAGATACAATAATGTGTTAAGTATTCTCATTTGCTTCAATATGCATGAGAGGAAGATTGCCGAAGGTTGAATCTGGAACGGAAGCCTGAAACCTGGGTGTTTGATGAAGCAGTTAATGTGAATGACTCTCCTAATCCAATCCTCTGCATTACATCTGCTGAAAGAACAGCCTTCCTGATTTATTAGCACCTGATTCGTGATTTATCGGCAATTTACAGGCAGACGTGATGTGAAACAAGTGCCCTTATGCTACATATCAAACAATGTATGAATTATTGCACAGGAGCTTTTATCATGACTCCCATAATTTCCTTCAGATTCTTGACATATTCGCTTGTGAGTTGTCCTCCTGCTTTCACGGCGGGGGACACCAGAAATGGGCTTCACACATTGTACCCATGATGGGAATCGATCCCGGGTGTTTTGCGTGACGAGCGAATGCTTTAACAACTAGGCTACCCGACCGTCCCCCACATATATGACGGCGGTCTGTAAATAATTGAGTCTGGACCAGACAATCCAGAGATTGACATCATGAGCATCGATCCACGCAGTTGGGATATGATGACATGCATCATCAAAGTCAGTGAGCCTGACCACCCGATCCTGTTGGTCGCCTCTTATGACAAGCATAATCGCCTCTTACGACAAGCATGGGTTGCTGAAGACCTTTTCTACCCCGTACCTTCACAGGTGGGAGGACAGCCCAAAGTGATGCATGTGTATGGTGCTGACAAACCTAGAAATATGATCATGGCAAACCACAGTTTTCTGCACAGCGAATTGTGGCACCTAAGACGACTGGGCCACACATACCCCCTAACATACAAATGCATGGGAAGCACAGTATATGTTTCCCATGAATCAATGATGTAAGTACCTCTTTGTACTTTGGTATTGACTCACACGGAACATATATTCCATGACTCGACACTGCACATTAGTGATTCTCGAGGCAACAAATACTCTATTTGATCATGGATGAAGGTTACTAGTATATTAAAGAGCATGACGCTCATGCATAATAAATAGTACCGTATGTCATGAATATCATTTGATATGAGTGCATGCAAGGCGCTGCTCTGAAAATACTATTTAACCCTTATCTTTTGAAACATTTATTCTTGAATTCTCCTTTCAAATCAATAAGTGATTGGTCTTGGACTGTACCATTTTTTATTATTTGAAGAAATGGAACTGTCATTTTTTCATGTGAAAGAGTGGAATAGTTCCCCAGTGCCAATACTTATCTCCCAGTGGGGACTCCTGGACAGAATAGTTTCCCAGTGTCCAATACTTATCTCCCAGTGGTGATTCCTGGGAAGAATAGTTTCCCAGTGCCAATACTTATCTCCCAGTGGTGACTCCAGGGAAAAATAGTTTCCCAGTGTCCAATACTTATCTCCCAGTGGTGACTCCAGGGAAGAATAGTTTCCCAGTGCCAATACTTATCTCCCAGTGGTGACTCCAGGGAAAAATAGTTTCCCAGTGTCCAATACTTATCTCCCAGTGGTGACTCCAGGGAAGAATAGTTTCCCAGTGCCAATACTTCTCTCCCAGTGGTGACTCCTGGGCAGAATAGGCCCAATTAACCAAATACCAAATACCAAAACACAGATATACTCCAACATGTTCAAAATACTAACCCATATCCAATACCGCAAACTTCAAAATTCGCACCAACAAAAAAAAAGAAACCACTCAATATCCACCCACAATATGAACCTCATGTTGTATAACAACGTCTTGGAAATAAGAATAAACACCCTTATCTTTGAAACACAAATTCAAAGCAACTACACAAACAGTGAAGCTGTAAGTCTTTAGCTTGACCTGCAACAAGTGCTCCCAATCCTTCCCCTCGACTCCACAGCCGAGGTGATCAACCGAGGGGTCGGTAACTTCCCCACGGCCACTTACCACCCATCCTCACCCAATGACTCCATCAAGATTCAACATTCAAAGAAAATATGGTCAAATTCCCATAAGGTGAAGCGGCCACTTCAAGTCTGCGTTAGACTGACATTAGAGCTGCAAGCATCACTCATTGCATGAATCCCCTGTGCAATGGCTCTGAAATGATTGTACATAGGTCTAATTATCATATAGCCAGCAGCATACAAAGCAAATATCCATGACAATATGGAAGATGGTTTCCCCAATGCCTTCAAGTCACTTCTTTTGTAAGGCAATCCATATGAATTAACACCAAGAAGGCATAACACATACTTTCTTGCAAAGTATTCAATTACCCACACACCAAGGGAGATAACTCTAAAGGTAATGTTAAAGCTACATTGGACATGCTGAAACTCAGATAGCTGTCATGTATTTCAGTAACTATCAAACTCCTTCAATCAGGTTATTCAGCTGCATTATACCTCGGGAAGCAGTGAAATTGTAATGTTGCATGAATTCACTGTAAACTGTGTAACGCCGGCCTGCTCGCCCACCCACCCACACATCCTCACTCACTCACTCACTCACTCACTCATTCACTCACTCACTCACTCACCCACTCACTCACCCACTCACTCACCCACTCACTCACTCACCCACCCACCAGGGACATGAAGCCAATCCTGATACTCTGGATGCTTTTAGGTGATTTTTATGATTCTGAATAAACATCAACATTAACATCTTTAACACCTGCATTATTCATTCACGGCCCTATCTTCATCTCACTTAAAACATCCAATATTCATGTTCCATTTCTTCTCCTTTAGCTAATACAGACAAATAAAACGACAAATCTCTTACTTTAATTACCCTTGATGTCATTCAAGGATGCTCCTATTGAAGGAGGTCTCTGAATAAACCAGAGCAGTCATCACAGTTAATGAAATAGACGGGTAAGCTTCAACACCGTCTTCTAGCAACGTGCTCCGATTACTGGCATGACCATGATGGCAACTCCTGTCCACACACCTCAAAAAGACATTTATAAAACTGCATCAAGCTATTCCCACAGGAGATACTCCTGACAGAGCGTCCATATCAGCTATTATGGGAATGTTCCTTGTGTAAATGAAAACATGAACTGCCATGATGTCGCTATTCAGAAACTTGAGCTGAAACAGCTTCCATCACTCCCGCCGCTCCAAATG